AAAATCTCCACTTTAACAGCCTTATTCTTTATTTTATTTTTGTCAGAATTTTTATTATTATTACTTTTTATTTAATTTATTCTCTCCCAAAAAGTTTTTTCATTATATTTATATATATATATATATATATATATAATATTTTAAGCATTAAAAAATAGTTTTTAAAGTTAATTAATTACGATATTATTCACTAAAAAGGTTGGATTATTCTAATGAAATTATATCCAACTAAAAATTTAGCCTTTTTAATTAATCATAAAAAAGTTACTATATAATTTATTATTATTATTATTTATTTTTATTCACTTTTTTTTTTAATTTTATTTCTTAATTTTGATTTATGACCGTTAATTTAAATTAAGATTATTATTACTATATTTGAAACAATATTATTTGAATTTGCTCCGAGTCAATAATGATCGATTATAACCTATAACATTTATCAAGTTCTAGTTCTCGTCAAATAGTTGGATCTATTTAGATTCTCGGTTAATTTACCTCTAAGAAAAATAATGTATAAAAATCTTTGTAGATTCTCGGGTGTACCTGAGTTAGATTGGATTGAAAAAAATCATGTAGACTAACTCGAATTTCGAGTTGGTTAGGCTGGTGAGCCGAGTAACCACAACCTAATCTAACCCTTTATTTTCAGGTTGGGTTAGACATTCACAAGTTACAACGCATCAATAATATCCTATTACAAATGACAAGTATTTTAGATCTGTAGATAGGGTTGGATTGGGTTGGGTCGTAATTGGTCAGATTGACCCCACCTTAAAAATATCAACCCAGATTTTAAAAAATTTCAACCCGACCCAAATCGAAAAAAATGTAACCCAACCCATTTTTTATAATTGGGATTGAGTTATCGAGTCAGACGAACACTTCTAATAAATTAATTATTGTTAATTTATATATATTATATAAAAGTGGAAAAAAAAAGAAAAAAAGAAAAAAAGAAATTGGAGTGGCATTGGTTGTAATAATCTCCATTTCTGAGCCCAAGTTGTTATTATAAACCCTCAATTCCTCTCTGTGGTCCCATCTTCTTCCTCCAATTCCCAATTATATTTTATCGCCATTGTTTATCTATATTCCGCACTTTGAACCAACTCCCAGAAATTCAGACCTCTCTCTCTCTCTCTCGCTCTTCCGATTCATAATGCAGCAGCTCCGCCGCGGCGCGGCCGCCGGGACATTGGTCCTCGCCGTCGTTCTTCTCGTGATCTCTGCCGCTACGGCTCACAACATCACGAAGATTCTAGCGGAGCACCCGGAGTTCTCCACCTTCAACCACTACTTGACCACCACTCACCTTGCAGCGGAGATCAACCAGAGAACCACAATCACTGTCTGCGTCGTCGACAACTCCGCCATGTCCGATCTCTTGTCTAAGCACCTCTCCATTTTCTCCGTAAAAAACACTCTCTCGCTCCATGTCCTCCTTGACTACTTTGGAGCCAAGAAGCTTCACCAGATCACCAATGGCACTGCTCTTGCTGCGACTATGTTCCAAGCTACTGGCACTGCTCCTGGTGCTTCCGGTTTCGTCAATATCACCGATCTCAAAGGCGGTAAGGTAGGGTTTGCTCTTCAGGATAGTGAGGACATTGATGCGATGTATGTGAAATCTGTGGAGGAGATTCCGTACAATATCTCTGTGATTCAGATCAGTAAGATCTTGCCGTCGGAAGTGGCGGAGGCTCCAACTCCGTCTCCGAGTGAGATGAATTTGACCGGTTTAATGTCCGCTCACGGTTGCAAAATCTTCGCCGAAACTCTTCAGGCTTCCGATGCTGCTAAGACCTTTCAGGACAACGCAATCGGTGGATTGACGGTTTTCTGTCCTCTCGATGACGTTTTCAAGGCATTTCTGCCTAAGTTCAAGAACTTGACAGCCGCCGGGAAGATCTCGTTGCTCGAATACCACGGTTTACCTGTATACATGTCAATGTCCATGCTCAAGTCCAACAATGGCGTCATGAACACCTTAGCCACCGACGGTGCCAACAAGTTCGATTTCGTCGTGCAAAACGACGGCGAAGTAGTCACTCTCCAGACTAAAGTCGTAACCGCCAAGGTCACCGGCACGCTTCTCGACGAGCAACCAGTGGCGATCTACACGATCGACAAAGTTCTCAAGCCAAGAGAGCTCTTCAAGAAGGAAGCTCCAACTCCAGCGCCAGCACCAGCGCCGGAGGAAGACAAACCTGCCGACGCACCAAAGTCTCATTCTCGTCGCCACAAAGGCCCCCCGGCTCCTGCTGCAGACTCACCAGCAGATGCGCCATCTGACGACGACGACGATGCAGCAGATCAGACGGCGGACGGTAATGGCGTTGCGAGGCTTGACGCATGGAGATTCGTTTTGGCCGGAATTTCAGGATTGGCAGTTCATCTTCTACTGTAAGATCTTCTTCCCATCTCGCCGGCCCTAGTTTTTCCCCCCTTATCTTTAGTTCTCTTTTTTTAATATAATTTTTACGTTTTTTTTTTTTTGGGACTTGCAATAATTATTTTTCAGTTAAAAAAAATTTGAAATTGGTTGTAGTAAATTTCTGTGCAAGGTGTTTGTTTGTTTGTTTGTTTGTTTATTTATTTATTTATTTTCCTTTTATTTTTAGTTTTGGAAGGTAAGAGATTTTTCAACGGCTGTGATTGATTTGGTTTTATGAGTGGAAGTTTGAGTATGGTTATTGTTGTTAATCACTTAATTAATTAATGTAAATGTATGTTATCATTGTGATTTGCTAATATTTAATTCTTATGCGTTATATTTAATCAATAGTTTTAACATAAAGTTTTATTTATAAGGTAAATGAATTGAAGCATCTTATAATATAGTCTAATAAATAAGACATGGAGGGTAGTTTTGTCCATCAATTAATAACTACAAAGATTTCGGGTTAGTTAGTTGATGAGCATTGTTGATGCAGACTTGACTTACTTTAATTTATATAAAATATTCTAAAGTTTTAAAATATGTCTCAATTATGGGATTTTGAATTTTTTTTATATTTAATTAAATTAATAAAAATATTCTTAAAACTTCGTGTTTTAATTAAATACTCATAAAATTTTAATTTTAAAAATTGCATTATTCTCAAAGTTTATAACGAGGGTATAATTGAAATTTTATTAATTTTTTTTTTTGAAATCTTGTTCAAAAAATATTTGTAAAATGTATAATTGATATTATTATTTAAAAGTAATTAATGTATAAGAGAGAGAAATTAGGAACATAATTTAGACGTGTTTGCACATTGCCTCTATTATTAATTTCAAATACATAATATTTTCCAAATATAATGGAATATTTTAAAATAGATCTAAATTAGGTGAGTCTCCAAGTTAGATATTAGAACAAATGGTGTATTTTGTTCGGGAAAGTGTTGGATGAAAGTCCTACGTCGGCTAGCCTCGAAGGATATTTGAGGATTGACATGAATCACGAATCTCCATAATGATATGATATTGTCCACTTTGAAGATAAACTCTCCTAACTTTGCTTTCGGTTTTCCCAAAAGATCTCAAACCAATCGAGAGACTATTATTTGATTATAAACCCACGATCATTCCCTAAATCAGCCCATGTGAGACTTTCATCCAACAAACGTTATTCTTTTAATATAAATAAATCTTTAACAAAATTATTTAGATTTGATTTTTGATCTATTTACGTCTCTTATGTATATTAGAATAAGATTCTAATGGTAATATTTAAATTATTTAAAGAAATAAAATCTATCGGAATATTTAAATTATTTAAATTAAAAACTTAACATTATTTTTTTTTTCTTATGAAATATATTAATTAATGAAGTTTTTTTTTTTTTTTTTTACAATTTTTTAAATAAAAAATAAGAAAAAAACATCGGGAGATTATTATAAATTCACTTTGTCCTATTCCGAACAAAAATAAATAAAAAATTTAATAAATGAAGAATGAAATAAGTGGCGACTATAGAACAGAGATAGAGAAATTCATTGTTCCCATCCCACACGATCATCTCCTAATTGACATATGGTGCATGAGATAGGTGTGGCCGAGCAGCGTCGTTTACGGCGGAGACGGCGGATTTGAGGTGGAAGACGACGACAACGACAAAAGCTACGTGGAAGAACACATGTCGAGTTTATAAACAAAATGCTTATGAACAAAAAAGACATGTATTTTTATCTTAGCTAGTTGAGGACGCTATGATACAGATAATATAAAATCATCTATATTTTAAAAATAAAAACTAAAAGCGAGACGAGACACCCTCCTCATCGCCACCTTGTTCTCGACTTATCAAGATCCCACATCAGTTGGAAGGTCACTGGGCAGTGTGCCAACGAGGACATTGGGTCCCGAGAAATTGGATTGTGAAATTTCACATCGATTGAAGAAGGGAACAAAGCTAGAGAGAGAGTGGGAAACGTGTTTTTCTCATGAGATAAATGGAGACGAGGACGGGATTATATTCCCTGCCTCCGCTTAAATCACGGCCCCATTTGTATATATATATAATATATAAATTAATTAATTTTGAGACTCTAATTATAATATTTAAATTAAAGATTATATTATACATTTTTTAAATTAAAAACTATGTTATAATATTAAAATTTTAAATTTTAAAAAATTGTGTTCGTGGTCATATTTAAAATATATTGATTTATTAGGATTTTTTAAAACATTTTTTTAAAGAAAAATTATATTAAAAAATAGAAACTTTAAAATAACTATTTTTCTAAAAGAATAATAAACCGAGAAAAATTATCCGTCTAGAACTCGATTCCTGTAAAAATAAATAAAATTTTTGCGAGGATAAAGAATGAAATAAATAGCAGGGATGGGAGCGGGAAAAGCTTCCCCGTCCCTGACTCGCCCTATCCTATGGACATCTCTAGAGCCCAAGTCCTACAAGAGGAAAGACATGGTGTTCTTTCAAACACAAAATCAATACATACAACAAAGCTACATAAGTCATTCAAACGAAACCGAACAAGAATCATCTCGACAGAGAGCCTATTAACGTTTCAAAGTTTCATATCAATTTCTAGTATCAAGTATCGATAAGCATTTGCCAGTAACTACACGAATCCGAATAACTACACGAATTAGTATCCGAAATCATCGAGTATCCAACCGAGCCCCAAAACGTACTAGCTCGAGGTACCAATAATCCCAAAGCTATGAACATGATTTACCAGCAGCCACCAATATACTTCACACATGACCTATATACCATATATGGCTTCCAAAGTCTTTCAACTTAGAACGGTTAGTTGATTCCTATCAATAACGGTTCTAACTATGTCACGTCCCGAGACCCGAGTGTCATATCTAACAAAATCCACCCAATCCCGATGTGATATCATTTTTTTTTTCAGCGATTCATCAAACGACGAAATATGTACAGCGTTCATGCTAATATCTAGATTTTCGCTTCGGTCGTCTCGACCGCTTCCTAGATATTGCAGAACCATTTACACTTGCTAGTTGTCGTTTCATATTGCCGTTACTAAGTGAATCTATAGCTAACGTTTTCAAGTCTTGGGTGTACCTAATAACATTGGTAACAGTGGCATATACCGTGACCTCGCTCTTTGGGAACGGGATGGATTTTCGCTCGATAACTGCATTTTTTCCACAGAAGAAGTCTTGAACTGCCTCGTCTCTTAGTCTCCGAAAAACGACCTCCTTATCGAGATTCAAAGAATCTGCAGAGACCTGCACAGCAATAAGAGTAACAGTGATTGATCGTAACTTTGTTTCAAAATCTTGTAATTATTCAAAGCAATTTGAAGAACAGTAAAGAATGTTGCATCATGATCTTTAATCATAGTTAATGCCACTAATCAAGGATTATGGTTTACTAGTTGACGTGTAATATCCTTAGAAAGCTATTTTGGAGGGAAGATTAGACTCGAGCAGTTTATCACGGTTTTAAAACGCATTGACTAGGGAGAGGTTTCTACACCCTTATAAGGAATGTTTCGTTCCCCTCTCCAACCGATATGGGATCTCACAATCCACCTCCTTGGGGTTCTAGCGTCCTCGCTGGCACATCGCCTAGTGTCTGACTCTACTATCATTTGCAACTTCCCAAACCCACCGCTAGCAAATATTTGATCGTTTTGGCCCGTTACATCGCCGTCAGCCTCACGTTTTTAAAACGTGTTTACTAGGGAGAGATTTCCACACCCTTATAAGGAATGTTTCGTTCCCCTCTCCAACCAAAGTGGGATCTCACAATCCACCCCCCTTAATGGTCCACCGTCTTTGCTGGCACACTGCTCGGTGTGTGGCTCTGATACCATATGCAACAGCTCAAACCCAGCACTAGCATATATTGTACACTTTGGCCCGTTACATATCGCCATCAGCCTCATGGTTTTAAAACGTGTCTACTAAGGAGAGATTTCCACACCCTTATAAGAAATGCTTCGTTCCCCTCTCTAACCAATGTGGGATCTCACAATCCACCCCCCTAAAGGGTCCAACATCCTCACTGGCACACCGCCCAATGTCTGGCTCTAATACCATTTGCAACAGCTCAAACCCACTGTTAGCATATATTGTCCGCTTTAGCCTGTTACGTATCGTCGTGAGTCTCACGATTTTAAAACGTATCTATTAGGGAGAGGTTTCCACACCCTTTTAAGGAATGTTCCGTTCCCCTCTCCAACCAATGCAAGATCTCACACCTTTTATTCTTAAGCTTTTTCTCAATAAAAGTTAAAAAACACAAAGAACAGAGTTGTTAATGATAGACTAAGGTTTTTTATTTCTTACCTTAAAATCAACAGGGATATTAACTTCAACATGCGAGCTACCACACCCTTCGCTGAAGTTGAGCCTCAAAACCAATTCAAATGATTTTTCCTTTACTGTTCTTCTGATAAATACCAAATGTAAAAGGAATGAGTTAAACATCATTGAAACCAGAGTGGAACATTCAACCAAAAAAACCAACCCATTGATAAACCATTTGACGTGCCAAATGAGTCGTGTTGTTTCCCCGTGAGATTAAATAGCATTTAACATACCCGAAAGTAATAACGTTCTAAATAGTTTCATGTTATACCTTGAAGAACGAAGAACGAAGAACGTAAAAGTACCTTTTAAGGAGAAACGGTTGGCTCTCTAAAGTGGCTGATTTGAAATCTTGATTATCCAAGAACGAAACCTGGGAGAATGCGGTCGAGTGATACTACGTCGGTTACGATTATCCCAAAATGATCGATAGAGATGAGTGGATAGGACAGTTTGTTAGAATCTACTTGCATTATGCTCATGACTTAACACACATTAAGCCTTTTGAGGGTCTTCGTTCCCCTCTCCAACCAGTGTGGGATCTCATAATCCATCCTCTTTGGGGACCTAGCATCCTCGCTGGCACACCGTCCGGTGTCTAGCTCTAACTAATACCTTTTGTAACTGTGCTAGCAAATATTGTCCTCTTTAGGCTTTTCCTTTATGGGTTTCCCCTCAAGGTTTTAAAACGCGTATGCTAGGGAAATGTTTCCACACCCTTATAAGGAATGCTTTGTTCCCCTCTCCAACCAATGTGGGATCTCACAATCCACCCTCCTTGGGGGCCCAGCGTCCTCGCTGGCACACCGCCCGATGTCTAGCTCTGATACCATTTGTAACTACCCGAGCTCACCGCTAGCAGATATTGTCCTCATTGGGCTTTCCCTTCTGGGCTTCCCTTCAAGGTTTTAAAAGGCGTCTGCTAGGAAGATGTTTTCACACCCTTATAAGGAATGTTTTGTTCCCCTCTCCAACCAATGTGGGATCTCACAATCCACCCTGCTTGGAGCCCAGCGTCCTCGCTAGCACACCACAGTGTCTAGCTCTAATACTATTTGTAACTGCCCAAGCCCACCGCTAGCAGGTATTGTCCTCTTTGAGTTTTCCCTTCTGAGCTTCTCCTCAAGTTTTTAAAACGCGTTTGCTAGGAAGAGGTTTTCACACTCTTATAAGAAATGCTTCGTTCCCTCTCCAACAAACGTAGGATCTCAATCTTGCCACAAGAGCAACTTGCAAGATTCTTCTTCCTTCATATGTCTAGCCTAACAAAATTCTTGGTACGTTTAAAAATAGAAAAAAAAGAATTAGACACGACTAACAAACAAGCCTTCAATAACACCAAAGTGTCTAGAATGTCTAGGCTTTTTTATGTTTATTCATGGCAATACGTCCCACTCCATTATTTTACAATCCGACTTCGAACACTCCGACATTAGCTTCAGGACACAAAAGGATCTCCTCTAATTAAGCAGTAAGCACCCACCTAGAGGCTTGAAACCCACACCTTGGCTAATCAGAGGTCAGTCGTACAAAAAGAAGTGCGTGACAACTATAACCGTGACCAAATTTCTAGATCACGAGTACTCAACTATCACGATTGGAATTCAAGTGCCAATATAAAGGAAAATACGCGCAATGATTTTAGATAAATCACCTCAACAGATTTGATAAATGGCAATGTAGCTTTCTGTCCATGCACACTTAATATTCGAAGTGTCCAGTTGACAAATTTCTTGTCTGCAAAAGAGAAAAAAAGGGTTGAATTTGTGATTATAAAGTATATATTATAAGGCATTCTAACCCATGGGTATCACTGCTTCCAATAGATGTGAAAAGAATATAAGAAAACATCATTCCAACATTTCAAAAGTGAATGAAAGAATCAAAAGGGATTTGTCCTCGCAGAATAGACAATCAAATGATTCAAGTAACATAATTCCTATTTGTAGCACAAGAGAATTGACCTTTCATGTCACAGGGAGAAACCAGCGTAATTGAACTTGTAACCGCCCAAGCTCACCGCTAGCAAATATTGTCCTCTTTGGACTTTTTCTTTCGAGTTTTCCCTCAAGGTTTTTAAAATGTGTCTGCGAGGGAGTGGTTTCCACACTCTTATAAATAATGTTTCGTTCTCTTCTCCAACCGATGTGGGATCTCACAATCTACCCTCCTTCGGGGCCCAGCGTCTTTGTTGGCACTCGTTCCCTTCTCCTATCGATGTGGGACCCCCCCAATCCACCTCCCTTCGGGCCCAACGTCCTTGTTAGCACACCACCTCATGTCCACACCCCTTTGAGGTTCAGCCTTCTCGCTGGCACATCTCCCGATGTCTAGCTCTAATACAATTTGTAACGACCCAAGCCCACCATTAGCAGATATTATTCTCTTTGGACTTTCCCTTTCAGGCTTTCACTCAAGGTTTTTAAAACGCGTCTGCTAGGGAGAGGTTTCCCCACCCTTATAAAGAATATTTCGTTCTCCTCCCCAACCAATGTGGGATCCCACAGAACTACACAACAAGAACAATATGAACATATGAATGATAAAAGATTTTGGTCATTAAGGCCCGTTTGATGTCACGGATTTGGGAATGGGGATAGGCAAGGGTTTGTGATATCTTTGTTTGGTTCGAGGTTCATGAGGATGGCCATGGGAATAATGTATTCTATTCCCTAACAAAAGTATGAATTGTCTTTTAGTCTATTTTATTTTCTATTGTTTCTATTAATTAGAGCCTATTAAAATTATATATAAGGTTATTATCATTAACTTCATAAAATAATACAAACATAACTTGTTTCCGTAATGTTTTGATGACATTCTCATGCACAACCAAACACAACAACCTTATTCTCACGCATCTATGAAACCTTAAATCCAGTAGCTCAGGTGTGTTGTGTGACACTAGCAAATCTCAATTCAAAGGGAAGAGACATGCCTCTTTTTTTTCTTTTTTTTTCTTCTTCTTCTTATAGGAAACAATATGTATATTAGACGATGGCTCCTTTTCTCAGTCTAATAATAAAAAATTAACATTCTAAAGCATGGTCGGAAAAAGACATGGTGTGAGATCCCACATCGGTTGGGGAAGAGAACAAAGCATTCTTTATAAGGGTGTGGAAACCCCCCTCTAGTGAACGCGTTTTAAAACCGTGAGACTAACGGCGATAAGTAACGGGCCAAAGCGGACAATATCCACTAGCGGGTGGATTGGGATATCACAAATGATATCAAAGCCAGGCACCGGGCTGTGTGCCAGGGAGAACGCTGGACCCCGAAGGGGGTGAATTGTGAGATTCCACATCGGTTGGGGAAGAGAATGATGCATTTTTTATAAGGGTGTGGAAACCTCCCCCTAACGGACACATTTTAAAACCGTGAGGCTCACGGAAATACGTAACGGACCAAAGCTGACAATATCTACTAGCGGTGGGCATAGGCTATTACACATGGAAAGCTAGAAAGCAACAAAAAGATGGTAGCTACCAGATTTCTTTCTTTGCATAAGGATTTTTGCTCATAGATAAGGAAGAAGTATCATATGCGAATGCTTACTCTATAAATATAAACAGTAGACTAACGTAACTTAAGGCAGAGATCTAGTAGACTAACGGCATTCCCTTTTCAAGCCTACTAATGCATTTTTAACTGACATTGTAACGACCCAAGCCCACCGCTAGCAAATATTGTCCTCTTTAGGCTTTCCCTTTCGGGCTTCCCCTCAAGGCTTTAAAACGCGTTTGCTAGGGGAAGGTTTCCACACCATTATAAAAGATGTTTTGTTCTCCTCCCCAACCAATGTGGGTATGGGTCGTTACAGACATGCAATGCAATACAATAAGAACAAATTTAAGAGGAATTACCAAGACTCAAGGCTTGAGAAAGTATAATCTGGAAAAGATCAATTCGAACAAACGGGGGAATTTGCATCTTTAGGATCTCCATTACGCCCGAAATGACCTATGACAGTTCGATCGAACAAGAAAGATATTAAATAAAATAAATTTATGATATAGTGTTTAAAGTATGATGGTCAAATTCAAATGAGATAAATGGCATGAATACAACTTTATTTTGCTTGGTATTGAAGATAAATGATATTATTACCAAAATGTAGTTCTTGTCTTCATTGGGCTTAGAAAAAACAATACCTTATCGACACGACCATGGATAACCAAACTTGCTTTCTTGTCCTTTGGTGTTTTCTGTCAGAAAAGGCAAACAACAATTTCATTATGATCATAATACTTCAGTTTATGCCTAATTACAAGACGATATCCGTACGTTATTGTTTATCGCAGGTTTACCCGAATGATATGCACGACAATACAATATAGATGGGACAAGGAAGAAGGTCAAGCACCAAAACGAGGAAGTAACAAAGAGAACTTTAACTGTAAGTAACGAAAGGGGCATAAAATTTACCCCAAGAAAGAGCCAAAGGTTATGAAGTTCAAAGACCACCCAAGTGATCTTGTTTTTTCTTTATGGTAGTACACGTGTTCTCTCATCGAACAACTAAAGGAGGTATGCCTCAAATTTGTGAGATCTCACAACGGTTGGGGAGGAGAACGAAATATTCTATAGAAGGGTGTAGAAACCTCTCTCTAGCAGACGCGTTTTAAAACCTTTAAGGGAAGCCCGGAAGGGAAAGAAAAAAGAGGACAATATCTGCTAGTGGTGGATTTGGGTTGTTACAAATGACATCAAAGCTAGACACTGGACGATGTGCCAGCGAGAAGAATGAGCCTTGAAGGGGAGCGAACACGAGGCGATGTGCCAGCAAGAACGTTAGGTCCCGAAGATGGGTGGATTGGGAGGTCCCACATCAATTGGAGAAGGGAACGAGTGCCAGCAAAGACGCTAGGCCCTGAATGAGGTGGATTGTGAGATCCCACATTGGTTGGGGAAGAGAACTAAACATTCTTTATAAGAGTGTGAAAACTTCTCCCTGACAGACGCGTTTTAAAACCTTGAGGGAAAACCCGAAAAGGAAAGCCAAAAAGGACAATATCTACTAACGGTGGGCTTGGACACAAATCTGTCTTAAAGCTTATCATTTATTGACTTTCTATCTACCAAGATAAAGATAATAATAATAATAAGGGAAATTGCACAAACCACCTTTAAAATACAGGGATTCTTCGTGCAATTGTAACAAATCCCATAATTCAGGGGTAGTTTGTGCAATTTTCCTAATAATAATATTAATAAAATTCATCAGGAAAAAAAAAACAAAAATAGAGGGCAAGCCCTATATTCGCTTGAAATAAGAGATCGAATACCTGAAGATTAACGATGACAATTTTCCCCCCGCCACGAAGTGCTTTTAGAGGAAGGTTGCATGCTGGAGTGATCTGCAAACTGCACATAGTAATCATACCTATGACCATCCAAAAAGATCCCACAAATATAAATTTTCATCGTATGCACGAAAGATGCTTTACAGACAACCGTATGATAGAACTATACGAGCACAATAGTTTAGTTTCATCACATGAAAAGGACATAGAAACGTGCTTATTTCAGCTAACAAAGTAGTTAAAACCAGATTTTTTTTGTTTAAAACTCGAAACGACCACATTCACAAGTTAAAAAATGTCATCGCATAGCAAGAGATGCTCTACTTACCTTGTCCCTAGACACAATACAATATCAGCCATCTTGCAGTGTCTCTCAGCTGGATTCATCTCCTTCGGAGGCAATGCATCCTGCATTTATACAGGGCTCAGATGTCATAAACAGACAATCATGGTTAGCTATATAAGAGATAGTACTTCCTTAAGACAGTCGACTAAAATCTTTGCTATAATCTTGCAGAAGGAAGTGGCCAAGCTGATAGGTTTTAAGTTATTTATCTCAGAAGCTCTAGTGATCTTTGGAATAAGACGGATATAAATCTTGTTCGCATGACTGCAACAAATCAGTTTTGGAAAACTCGTGGAATAACTAAATTACATTTGGTATCAAAATGTTACATGTTTTCAAGAATGGTGAGATTCCACATCGGTTGGGGAGGAGAACGAAGCATTCTTTATAAGAGTGTGGAAACCTCTCCCTAGTAGACGAGTTTTAAAGCCTTGAGGGGAAGCTCGAAAGGGAAAGCTCAAAGAGGACAATATCTGCTAGCGGTGGGCTTGGGCCATTACAAATATTATGAGATCCCACATCGGTTGGGGAGGAGAACAAAGCATTCTATATAAGGGTGTGGAAACCTCTCCCTAGTAGACGCGTTTTAAAGCCTTGAGGAGAAACTCGAAAGAGAAAGCCCAAAAAGGACAATATTTGCTAGCGGTGGGCTTGGGCCGTTACAAATAGGTATCAGAGCCAGACACCGGGCGATGTGCCAGCGAGAAGGTTAAGCCCCGAAAAGGGTGGACATGAGGCGGTGTGCCAGCAAGGACACTAGGCCCCAAAGGGGGTGGATTAGGGGGGTCACACATCGATTGGAGAAGGAACGAGTGCCAGCAAGGACGCTGGGCTCTAAAGCAGGGTAGATTGCGAGATCCCACATTGGTTGGGGACGAGAACGAAGCATTCTTTATAAGGATGTGGAAACCTCTCCCCAATAGACGCGTTTTAAAACCTTGAGGGGAAGCAAGGGAAAACCCAAAGAGGATAATATCTACTAGTGGTGGGCTTGGGCCGTTACAAAAATTCTTTCGTCACACCATAAGGATTCAGAGACTTTCAATTACCAAGCTGTTTAGCTACTTTGCACGCGGCCTCCTCTTCAAAAGGTCTCTCAATCCAAACTCCCAAAAAAGTTGGAAGAGGTTCCAATGGAGCCCCTAGAAAAGCGAGTCTTGACCAACATCAGAAGTATAAAGATTTTGAAAAAGAACCAAACACTTCCTCGACTTCCAAATTAGAATTCCATGGAAAGCCAAAGTTTCAAGTAATCTTCCATTTGTACTATGATCCACATTGATGTGGAAGCTATAAACAGAACAGAACACAAAAATTGAAACAAACCACCAAAGAGATAAGAATTCTAAAGACTGAGAATACTAAATTTGTCAACTAACTGAAACAAACCTTGAAAATATATAAAATACGAAAGAACCGTGAGTACGCTAAAAATATTTACTACCTAGACTCGTTCTTTATATTTAAAAAATGCAAGACAGCCAATAAGAAAAGTACCTCCCAGTCGAGAACTGTATCCCTTAGTTTAGCTCCACAATTGGCATCCGAACATCTCCGAGAAGTATCTTTCAATCCGATAGTTTCTACTTCAAAATCCCTCAAATACCTTAAGAATATTTTAGAGTCAGATAACCAACGGGTAAGGGGAAAAAACCACTCATTCACAAATATGGAAGCAACAAAACAGCAGTGGCCAAAGATAACAATATTCATTTTTTAGTTAACAGAATAGTATTCCAGATTTATAAAAAAAATATATTATCTATTTTTGAGAAAAGGGAGCACTACAGAATAATTTGTCAACCGACAGCAAAAGAAAGGAATTATTTTCTTTTAGAAGAAATCATTAACCATTCATTTCGGAATGACCCAGGCCCACCGCTAGCAAATATTGTCCTCTTTGGGCCTTCCCTTTCGGGCTTCCCCTCAAGGTTTTTAAAACTCATCTGCTAGACTCTTATAAAGAGTGTTTCGTTCTCCTCCCCAACCAATGTGGAAGATCTTACAATCCACCCTCCTTCAGAGTCCAGCGTCCTCGTTGGCACTCGTTCCTTTGTCCAATTGATGTGGGACCCCACCAAATCTACCCCCCTCGTGTCTACCCCCTTTGGGGAACAACCTCCTCGCTGGCACATCGCCCGATGTTTGGCTCTGATACCATTTGTAACAGCCCAAGCCCAGGTCCATAGCTAGCAGATATTGTCCTCTTTGGGCTTCCCCTCAAGGTTTTTAAAATGTGTCTGCTAAGGAGAGGTTTCCACACTCTTAAAAGGGTGTTTCGTTCTCCTCCTCAACCAATGTGGGATCTTACACTCTCCTTTGTTCTTTCTTGTCTTCTACGTGGAAGCTCCAAATCCAAGAATTTTTGGTTCTTCAATGGATCATTGGCCATTTTCTTTTCGGCTTCTTCGACTTATAGTGATTCTAAAGACTACTTCACTCAACTACCTCATGGGCCTTATTTGCAGCCTCAGGTTTAGTTGGTCCGAATTAACGTGTCAAAGCTCCCACTTAAAATTTGGTTTGAACACAATTAGATGACATTGTTACGAATTTGGCTGCTTTAATTTCTCCTCCTAAGGTTTTTCTTTTTGATCGTTTCATTTTCACTCCAATGGGGGTTTGTATCCTAGAACATTTTTCTGTTCCTTTCCATTAGCTGATCAAAAGTTCATTTCTTGTTCTAAAAATTTAAATCTATTTTGTAACTATTTCTTGTTTTTTTGTGATAAAAATTGCAGCATTTTCGCAGATGCTTAGAGTCGTGCTTCCCTTCGTTTTTTCAATTCTAAATATCAAAAATCAAAACAAATTTCCAAGGTTCGATTATGAATATGTTGAAATGCATAAAAATACCCTTAAATGTTTGCCTATTTCTTTTCAACTAAATAGCACTTTTTTTTTTTAACAAGATACAAACTTTTCACTGATTGATGAAAAGAAGCAACAATGCTCAAAGGATAGCATGATCGTTATTCGAGTGAGAAAACATATGCACGGGAAAGAGTGAAACGAGACCATATAACAAGAACATCAGAAGTTGAAATAAACAAAAACACATAAAATAGAAACTTACTCAGCTCCACATGAAGGGCACGTTTCCATGAACGAGTTCCCATGTAATTCAGCAAGTTTCTCTCTTGGAATGCCAGATCGAAGATGGAGGCCATCAATATTCTATAATGAAATATCTCGGTAAGCAAGCGAGAAAAAAAAAATTCTTAATGTAAAGAATGCATGTAAAGTTGTATAATAAAGATGTCATTCAAAAATTTCTACCAAGTATTTGAAATGATAACTTCGACTCCATTAGTCCATAATAGAAGAAATCTTGAAGGCAAAGGAGGACCAACCAAATTATGAAGGAGATTACTTTTCGAGTCGTTTGTAAAAATCTAACGTAATCTAAGCCAAAGCATATAACGGCCAAAGAACAAATGATTCCGTACTTCCAAACCCACAAAACACAAGAAAGTGTCCCAGGCTTTCGTACCAAGTCATTGTACTATTGGGCTGGATGGAATTGTTTAATTCATCCAAAGACGGTGCATCCCCTCAATTGTCCCCAGTTCTATTGATTTTGATGACAGAGTATGAGGTCAATTTAAGTAGTGAGGAGCTTGACCAGCAGCCTAATGGTTCGTTTTTTGGATGATATTGTTACCGAAGACTTCTTTGTAGACGATCTTGTCTCTTTGTTTCATGTAAGAAAGCTTTGAAATCAAAGGAAGAATTGGAACTAAATCAGAATGTTGAAATTGACAGCACTATACATGTCCCTCCATCTTTCGCACAATCCTCTTCTTTAATTGAAGTCAGTGGCCTCCTCTTTTGTGAAATTCCTCCTTTGCAACCCGAGGTGATCGGTCAAAAGGTTTCACAGTAGGCTCTTTGTCCATCTTGTATCCCGATAATCTTGGATATTAGAGGTCTGCGAGTCTGTTCTAATAGCATTAATCTGAAGGGTTTTTTCCCCCTCTTCTCCAGTGCCCTGACATGTTGCTGCTCTTTCAAGAAACAAGTTCCAAAGTCATCTTTTGGGCTTTGCGGTACCACTTGTTCGATCCGGAGGGTTGCTTTTCTTGTGGATTGATAGCAAGGTCTTCGTCTTAGAGGTTTTAAAAAGTTGGTATTCTCTCTCGGACAAAGTCACTTTTCCGCTCGTCAATTTCATCAGGAATGGTGTAATTCTCAAATGTCTACCGCTATCTCTCTAACGTCTTCGCCTAAGTGATCTTAAAGCTTTTTGTTAGCTTCCTAGCAATTTTCTTGCAGAATCTTTGGATGTGATTCAGGACACGAATTGGGTTTATCTCTTCGAAATGCTTTCAGCAATCGATATGAACTTTATGTCTCTGATGATCAACATTCTGCACTACTTGGTTTGGCAAAAGCAATGAGATTGGTTGCATCATTCCGCTTCGATGCTGTATGGGAAAAGCTGAATGACATTCTGGACAATGTGGAGCGTAGTTTTTTTCGGAGTTTCCTATCATTTTTCTCTGATGGTTTCAAAAAAGATTCTGACCATATAATGCAGGCTTGGCTCTCATGTGTGGATATGCTCCAAAATATGCACCATCAACAGATATTGAGCCCAGGATAGATGCACATGTTCAGGAAGTGCATCATTGGAAATTTCTATTCGAGGATTTATTTTTTTCAGGAAAAGCTAAAAATTGGAGTTTAGTTAGACACATACGTTTTATATATTTAAAAAAAAACGTGTTTGTGTCCTACTTCTTAAGAAGGGTCTCAGGTCCCAGAAGTGCATGATAAAGTGCATGATAAAGTGCATGATAAAGCCTTCCGCTATCTTATACCCTCCCTTAGAAGTACAACGTGGGGAGATCACTGCTTACTGTTCACGGAAACATCCGACTATAAGAGAATCAAGTCAACCACGTATCTTTCTGATCCCAAGACTAGCTTTCCCAAACAAAATGTATATTGTGAAATGGTGGTGCTATAACAAATCCATAGTACCTTAACTTGCCGTTGCTGCACAAAGAAAGCAACCTGACCTTACTTCTAAGGGTTACTCTCATTTGAAGAAATGACCTTAAATCCTAGTGTCTTGACTCCGATCCCATGTCTATGCTTCTTAGAGCTACGGTAAATTTAATTATATCTATACTTTGACACTCCTCAAAGCTTAGGGCACAACAAATGGAAGTCAATATTGGGAAGAATTGGATATTATAGGGGTACGAACACAAGACCTCATGCTCTGATACCAACTTTAATCACCCATCAGTCCAAAAGGTCTTGTGTTCGAACACATAACCCCCTTGCTTTTTCAAAGAATCAAAAGAAATACATGGCTTGACCTTTCTTTTTCAAATGACCCCTCCTTATTCCTTTCTTTATTATCCTTAGTGACTTTGATTGCAATAAGAACCTCATCTAGAGTTTATCTTACAACCACAATGCTCCTCGATACCTAGAAATCGTACTTGGAAACCTCTCTCATCTTTTCAGCCAACACCTAGGTTTTTTATAAGAGACAATACCTTAGGAGCCGCCCCCACCAGGTAGGCGGCCTTAGTCTCTTTTGTCAATCAACCTTCCCTGGATTGAAAGAACTTTCTAAGAAATTGGCTTCTTTCAAGGGTGGCTGCTTCTAGGCAAACCTCCTGGTTGTCTCTGCACCCCTACCTCCAAGGATGGTCTTATACACACTTATGACAAACTGAACATACCTCAACTCGTTAAGGCATATTCTATCGACCAAGTAGTCACAAGTTCAAATCATCTCACCCCCATTTGTTGTCGAGCTTAAAAAAACTTGACTTTGATATTCCTCCATTTCTTTGAAAGAACTTATAAATATTTATCACTCAACTAATGAGGCAGAAATCGCACCCTTTCCAGCTAGTCCTTTTATAGAAAATACCGACTTGAGTACGACTGTCCTCAGCTAGTCCTTTTATAGAAAATATATACATAAAAAAGAGGTCTCAATATGTTAACATAGCACCCATAGATGAGAAAAAAATATGCACTACCTGACTAATGATGAACTTCAATATACCAGCCTTCTCTAACTCAACCAAAGCCATATGAGTCATGCTCGGCGCTGCATGATGAAATGGTAGTGACGCTTCTGGTAAGGCTTTACCTTCACGCTGAAAAATTTTATCGTGTTACGAATTCATTTGTTTATAAGCCAAAATAATGAAGGCAAGAAAAGAAATTTTCGACGAAAACACTTCATGCGTTTGATAGATGTAGTACCAATGGACTAGGATCTTTAAAATATTACATGATAAAAAAACATTAGAAAATATCAACTTGATTTTCATAATTTAATAAATCCAGATAAAAAAAGGTTGCTCGAGCCTCAAAGGTATCTTATTAGACATAGCGTAGAGATATAACTCGCCTGAAGAGTCCATATTCCTTTAGGACCTCGAAAATCAGGTATGCCACAAGAGGTCGATATTCCTGCACCCGTAAACACCACTAGATGCTTGCTCTGCAATTACAAACAAAGTTTCTCAAGAGATTGCTTAGCAAGAATCTACAAATAAGTTAAATAAAATAGATTTATACCTTTTGTATCATCATAGTTAGTCGCTCAATCTGCCACAAACAAATCGATGTTAAAATACCAAAAATCTAATATTTAAACCATATAATGAACTTAATTAATAAGAATAGCTCAGAAAAAACAGTCAAATAATAAGAAATCCTAGGACAATGATTTATGAGAAAACGTCAAATAGGTGAAAGCATATAGTTGTACTCTCTCCTCGCTCTCTCATATCCCCTATCCATTCTTGTTCTACATACACTCAGAATTTCTGGACAACGATTCTCAATATATTCGGATGGTGTCTCACATCTCCTAGGGAGGTAAAGGAATTTTTGGATATGGCCTTAATGTAACGTCCTTTCAAGAACGAAAAAGCCCGGTTATGGAAAATCTTCATCATGGCTTTCTCTTGGAATATGTGGAAAGAATGAAATCAGAGAATATTTGCAGAAAAGACAGACCTACACAAAACTTTTCGACAATATTGTTTACAAAGCTGTATCTTGGTGTAAGACTGTATAGGTACAAAAAGAGATATTGANGATATGGCCTTAATGTAACGTCCTTTCAAGAACGAAAAAGCCCGGTTATGGAAAATCTTCATCATGGCTTTCTCTTGGAATATGTGGAAAGAATGAAATCAGAGAATATTTGCAGAAAAGACAGACCTACACAAAACTTTTCGACAATATTGTTTACAAAGCTGTATCTTGGTGTAAGACTGTATAGGTACAAAAAGAGATATTGATATGACCTTAATGTAACGTCCTTTCAAGAACGAAAAAGCCCGGTTATGGAAAATCTTCATCATGGCTTTCTCTTGGAATATGTGGAAAGAATGAAATCAGAGAATATTTGCAGAAAAGACAGACCTACACAAAACTTTTCGACAATATTGTTTACAAAGCTGTATCTTGGTGTAAGACTGTATAGGTACAAAAAGAGATATTGATATGACCTTAATGTAACGTCCTTTCAAGAACGAAAAAGCCCGGTTATGGAAAATCTTCATCATGGCTTTCTCTTGGAATATGTGGAAAGAATGAAATCAGAGAATATTTGCAGAAAAGACAGACCTACACAAAAATTTTCGACAATATTGTTTACAAAGTTGTATCTTGGTGTAAGACTGTATAGGTACAAAAAGAGATATTGAGCTTTCACCGATTAGCAACCACGAAAACAAGTTAATCATAATTCCATCAATCAAATTTGGAGGGTAAACCATCTTCATGTGCTTAACTGGGTGCTTTTATGGGCTTTTGAATTTGGAAGGAATCAAAGGACATTTGAAGACAAAGAAGCTTCTTTTGTTGTTTTTTACAATTGTAACAACTGAAACCGACCATTAGCAAATATTGTCCTCTTTGAGCTTTCCTTTTTAGGCTTCCCCTCAAGGTTTTAAAACGCGTCTACTACGAAGAAGTTTTCATACCCTTATAAGTAATGCTTCGTTGTGAGACCTCACAATCCACCCCCCTTGGGAGCTCAACGTCCTCGCTGGCACACTGCCCGGTGTCTGGCTCTGATACCCTTTGTAATAGCTCAAGCCCACCACTAGCAAATATTATCCTATTTGAGATTTCTCTTTCGGGCTTCTCCTCAAGGTTATAAAGCTTCCCAGTTGGCATAAATCTAGATAAAAGAGTAATTACAAGTAGTATAGGAAGAAGAAATCACCAGGTACAGAGCAATTCAATTATTTTCAAATCGACCCATTTACTATCTATTGTTTCTCTCCCCAAAAAAAATCTTGATTTGTTTTTTCCCCTTCGAAAAGCCTCGTTTCTTTCAGACCGAACTCTCCAAAGAAGAGCTATCACTAGATTCAGCACATTAACCCAAAGAATTCTAGCATTACCATGAAGCTCCACATCACCTAGCAGCTCGAAAATGGCCTCTAACATCTCATAGGGAGGCACCATTTAAACTTGAATGTAGAAAAATTGACCTCCAAGGGCCTCTTGAAGTGGCAAGATTACGTTGACCCAAAATCCAGCCGCAAGAGCAATACCACTTCAATTGGGCTGATTTTAAACCACCGTCTCTTCCAGAGGAAACCTCCATAAACATTTGGAGGCAAGTAAAACATTCCTGTTCTTAAGGATCTAACCAATGTGAGAGACACCATTTCACAAATTAAAAGGGAACTGCCCTTCAAGTTTGCTCATCCCCCCAACACACAGATCACTTTAAAGTTAACAGTGTTCATCACAAAACAACAAGATCATTCAATCAAGTAGATAGCTATGGAAACTTATTCTATTTCAAATGAATTCATATATGCACTCCATTGCATGCTTTAACTAAGCCAAACATAGATGTTCTTGCCTAGAGAAGAATCTGCATTTCCCTTCATACGGATTTACAAACATCAGTTCAATTACCCACAAAGCAACTTGAAATCAACACAAAATGCATATCATGGCTTCAAGATCTCGTGAATAACACGCTATCGTACAATTAAAAACTTCAAGACAGCCCTGCTTCGAAAATGCACCATAAAAAAACATGTATGTGTTCAAAAACCAGACACAAATAACAATGATCGGCACTGAAATTGCAGAAGATCGCAATCCCGACAAACGAAATAGCACAAAGAACAATGAAAAAGGAGATAATCAACCTTTTCTTCTAAAACGTGAGGTGGGTCAAAATGTTCTGTCATTCCCACTTTTCCAACGTCTTCTATGAACGAAAGCTTCTCTGCGTAACCCAGAGACATGGTGTCTGTGCTGTCTGTGCTGTCTGTGCTGCCTGTGCTGACCCACTTTCTCTTAGTTTCGCCCCCAGAAGCTGAAGCTAAGATGATCAAAGAGAAGCTCCAGACACGAAAGTCAGGACCCCTCTTGTTCCGCCCCTCGATATGCTCCCAAGTACTTCAAGCATAAGCTTCTTTTTGGGAGACCCCAAATATGCAAAAGGGGATTTTAGTGAATTTGAAACCATCTTTGTTTCAAGATTTTTCATTTCTAGATTTTTTGTTTCTTAATTGCATTTTTTTTTTGCAGATTGGTCCTTAAATTATTTTAATGAGTGTTTAATAAGTCCTTAAACTTTCAAATCCGACTTTGAGATCTGTATCTCTTTTATCCTTAAATTTTTTAAAGTGTGTAATAGATCCTTAAAGTTCAAATCAGACGTTTAAGATCTATATCGATTTGATCCTTAAATTTTCAAAAGTGTTTAATAGGTCCTTAAACTTTCAAACGTTTGAGATTTGTATCCATTTCATTCTTAAATTTTTACAAGTGTCTAGCAGGTCTTTAAACTTTCAAACCCGAGATCTGTATCTATTTTATCCTTAAATTTTCAAAAGTGTGTAATAGATCTTTAAACGTTCAAACCAGACGTTTAAGATTTGTATCGATTTGATTCTTAAATTTTTAAAAGTGTATAATAGGTCCTTCACGTTTCAAACTTGACGTTTGAGATCTTTATCTATTTGATCCTTAAATTTTCAGTAGTGTCTAATAAGTCCTTAAACTTTCAAACTCGACGTTTGACTATTCGATCCTTAAATTTTCAGTAATGTCTAATAAGTTCTTAAACTTGCATTTTAAATTTGTATCTATTTTATCCTTAATTTTTTAAAAGTGTCTGATAAGTTCGTAAACTTTTAAACCTGATGTTTGAGATCTCCATCTATTTCATTCTTAAATCTTCAAGAGTGTCTAATAAGTCTTTAAACTTTCAAACCCAACGTTTGGGATCTGTATCTATTTGATCCTTAAATCTTTAAGAGTGTCTACTAAGTCCTTAAACTTTTAAATCTGACGTTTGAGATCTGAATCTATTTGATCTTTTAAATATGGCCTTTGAGACCCTTAAATTTTCAAGAATGTCTAATAAGTCCTTAAACGTTCAAACTCGACGTTTGAGATCCATATATATTTGATCCTTAAATTTTCAAGAGTGTCTAATAGGTTTAAACTTTCAAACCCAACGTTTGGGATCTGTATCTATTTGATCCTTAAATCTTTAAGAGTGTCTACTAAGTCCTTAAACTTTTAAATCTGACGTTTGAGATCTGAATCTATTTGATCTTTTAAATATGGCCTTTGAGACCCTTAAATTTTCAAGAATGTCTAATAAGTCCTTAAACGTTCAAACTCGACGTTTGAGATCCATATATATTTGATCCTTAAATTTTCAAGAGTGTCTAATAGGTTTAAACTTTCAAACCCAACGTTTGGGATCTGTATCTATTTGATCCTTAAATCTTTAAGAGTGTCTACTAAGTCCTTAAACTTTTAAATCTGACGTTTGAGATCTGAATCTATTTGATCTTTTAAATATGGCCTTTGAGACCCTTAAATTTTCAAGAATGTCTAATAAGTCCTTAAACGTTCAAACTCGACGTTTGAGATCCATATATATTTGATCCTTAAATTTTCAAGAGTGTCTAATAGGTTTAAACTTTCAAACCCAACGTTTGGGATCTGTATCTATTTGATCCTTAAATCTTTAAGAGTGTCTACTAAGTCCTTAAACTTTTAAATCTGACGTTTGAGATCTGAATCTATTTGATCTTTTAAATATGGCCTTTGAGACCCTTAAATTTTCAAGAATGTCTAATAAGTCCTTAAACGTTCAAACTCGACGTTTGAGATCCATATATATTTGATCCTTAAATTTTCAAGAGTGTCTAATAGGTTTAAACTTTCAAACCCAACGTTTGGGATCTGTATCTATTTGATCCTTAAATCTTTAAGAGTGTCTACTAAGTCCTTAAACTTTTAAATCTGACGTTTGAGATCTGAATCTATTTGATCTTTTAAATATGGCCTTTGAGACCCTTAAATTTTCAAGAATGTCTAATAAGTCCTTAAACGTTCAAACTCGACGTTTGAGATCCATATATATTTGATCCTTAAATTTTCAAGAGTGTCTAATAGGTTTCTAAACTTTAATCAAGAGTGTCTAATAGGTTTCTAAACTTTAATTTTTCACAAATTTTAAATTTTTTCCTGTAAAATTAATAAATATTTTTTCCTGAAATGAAACCTTCCCTCTATTTCATTCATTCGGTAAGTAACTGCTAGCAGATATTCTCCTATTTGTGCTTTTCCTTTCGAGCTTCCCCTCGAGGCTTTAAAATGCGTCGTTACGGGAAGATTTCCACACCTTTATAAATGATGTTTTGTTCTCCTCTTCAACCAATGTGGGACATCACAATCCACCCTCTACGGGGCCGAGCGTCCTTGCTAGCATTCTTTCCTTCCTCTGATCGATGTGGGACTGCCACTAAATCCACTCCCATTCAGAGCCCAGCATCCTTACTGACACACCGCCTCGTGTCTACTCCCTTCGGGGAACAACGAGAAAACTGACACATCATATGGTGTCTGGCTCTAAGGCGACACAGGGAAACAGCTTATTAAGTCTTGCTCTATCGTCCTATCCTCTTTTTGTCCTATCCTCTTTTTGTCCTATCCGGTTTTTGCAATTTCTGTATAATACTGCAGTGCTAATTACCCTCATCCCTTATCAGGAGTAGGAAAGGCTAAGGCAATGCCTATTACCCACATACCTTCAGAGGATTAACTCCATCTTTCACAATGTGTTGAAGAGGAAAATTAAATTAGTTCTAAAATAACTAATAAATATATCATTTGATGGTGAACAAAACATTGGTTGCGAGGAGAACAAAACACCATTTATAAGGGTGAGGAAACCTTTCCGTAGTAGACTGTGTTTTAAAGAGAAGCCCAAAAAGAACAATATTTGTTAGCGATGGATCTGGGCCGTTACACTCTATTTAAACGGGAATTTTTTGCTTCATTTTAGACTAATAAACTGTGATTAAATTAAATTAAATTTTCATCTCCTAATATATATTAAATCCGTTAATTCACGTTAAAAATATTAATTGATCAAATAATAATTAGTAAATTAAATTTAGTCTATTAAATAATTTATAATAACGGAAGAAGCATTTGGTTTTTCTATTATTTGTAGTTAATTTATTTTTAAGTAAAATCAATTTGGAATTAATTGTATCCGTTTTTTTTAATGTTTTTAATTGTATTAATTATTCATTAATTAACTCCTTAATAATAATTCACGAATATAGGTAGAAAATGAGAGATAATTAATTATTTAGTTTTATTGAAATTTGTGATAATATTTATATATACAAATGTTCGTTTAACAGAAGGGAGTGAGAGAAAGAAATTTATTGATTTCCCGCTCGCCTTAGTTTTTATATACAAAGCAGTATTTGTTATCGGTGGACTTGTACTGTTACAAATGATATCAGAGTCGGATTATGAGTGGCGTGTCGATAAAGACATTAAGCTTCGAACCAAAGCAGATAATATCTGCTCGTGGTTGACTTGATCTATTACAAATGGTATCAGAGTTGGGTTATGGGCGGTGTGCCAACGAAGACATTGGACCCCAAATGAGGTGGGTTGTGAGATCCCACGTTGTTTGGACCGGGTCAAAGTGGATAATATCTGCTAGTGGTTGTGATATGAACCAAAAAACATCAATCATACAATATACTTCAATGACGGTGTGAAGAAAAAAGTTGTCAAAATTATCAAAAGATGTTTCAATGCATGTCACATTAAAGAAGAGTAAAGTTTGATTGTTATAAATTTTGGGTGGGTTACAATTTAGAGTTTTTAGGACTTTTTATTTACTTTATGTTACAATTACATAATGGTTAATTATGACCATTAAGGATGAATGTTACAATTCTTGAAATGCCTAGTAGTTTCATTTTGAGGCTATATAAAGCCATGTATGTTGTATGTGTAAGAGACTTGAAAAATGTAGTAAAAGAAGCATTTGTGCTATTTCTTTAGCCAATGGCTAAGTTTCTTTGCAATTCTATGTAGTTTAGGTTGCATGTAGAATCATTCAAGCTCGACATGATCAATCTTGCTTGTGGAGTGATTCGAATCTCAAACAAGTGTTTGAGATATTTGATCAACAAGAATCATTCAAACTAGACATGATCGATCTTGCTTGTGGAGTGATTCGAATCTCAAACAATGTTCTTGCCTTGAGATATTCGATCAACAAGGTAATCCGAATCTTACCCCCCTTGTAGTGGTTCCTTTTCTTATCAGGTTGGCTTGAACTGCTACGAACTATTGTGAGATCTTACGTTAGTTAGAGAGGAGAGCAAAACATTTTTTTATAAGAGTGTGTAAACTTTGTACTAGTAGATGCATTTTAAAACTGTGAGATTGATGATAATACATGACGGACCAAATCAGACAATATTTGGTAGCGGTGGGTTGCGGCTGTTACAAATGGTATAAAGTCATGTTCTAGATGGTATGTCAACGAGAATGTGATTGGTACGAAAGTAAATGAAAGGTTTGCACGAAGGCTTTTTCTTTCTCATTCCGTGCCTCGGAAGTAAAAATATAATTTTTAAAATTAATAATAAATTATGATTGATTCGGTTCAGTTCAATATAGTTATAGCAAAAGTAGTATCGACGTCTTATAGATTATTTATTTATTTATTTTTACGTTAGTGATAAAAATTCATGAAATAAAATATATTAAGATATTTTTATTAATTTAGTCTTATAATTTATAATATTAAATAATAATAATAAAAAATACATTTATTATTTATTTGTATTATTTTTGGTTCGAACGAGGACCAAAGTCTCCCAAAATTTGAATTCGCTTCGCCCGCTACTCGCGAAAGTCTTTCTTCTTCGTCAGAAAACCCTCCATTGAAACTCAACTCTTCTTCCTCTCTGTTACTCGAACAGTTCGTCTCTTCTCTCTCTCTCTCTCTTTTCATGGCCATTCTGTGAAACATGGCGGCGATGGAGAAGCTATTTGTGCAGATCTTTGAGAGGAAGAAGTGGATCATTGACCAGGCCAAGCACCAGACCGATCTCTTCGACCAACAACTTGCGTCCAAGCTCATTATCGATGGAATTGTTCCTCCGACTTGGCTCCACTCGCCTTTTCTTCATTCCAACATTTCGCATTTTGAAGGTAACTTCGCGTTTTTGTCATAATTTTTCATTTCTTATGCTCCATGTTTAGTTAGGTCGAAGCAAGAATTTCTCCATTTCGCAACTTTTTTGCTCAATTGGTTTCTTTTAGGTGTAGGAGTGAGCAGAAATTTTGTTCCTGGAGTTGAGGTCCCACGGTCGCCGCTTCAGACCCATCGTTCTAGTTTGAATGAGGCATTTGTTGCAAACAGTGGGGAGGAATTGCAGCAAAGGTCGAATGAAGATGCTGGTTCTTTAAACGATGATTTTGATGCAGGAATTAGGCCTCCAGTTTTACCTCAGTGCGATACAAGTGACGCCTGTGTCTTAAATTGCGCAACTCGTGTTGACACGAGTCCTGTTTCTCCCCAAGGTCGAGGAGGCGTAGTTTTAGAAAACTACCAAGATCCTACTCTGTCACGGGCACGGTTACATAGATCTAAATCTAGGCAAAGGGCTTTAGAGTTGCGTAATAGCGCGAAATCTGCTAGGTGCCACTCCCGGTATGAGAACAAGAATGATTCCGTTGCTGATGGGCTCGGGGGATCTGCTATTAGTTTGCTGCAAGCTGATGACGAAGATGAATCATTGGCAAAGCCTTCTAGCAGCTGTAAGGGAATTGGTTCTATGGAAGAGGAGACTAATGTTTGTTGCGAGCAGAAGAATATCTCTATTTGCTCTGATAAATCTAGGCAAAGGGCTTTAGAGTTGCGTAATAGTGTGAAATCTTCTAGGTGCAACTCCCGGTATGAGAATGAGAATGATTCCGTTGCTGATGGGATTGTGAGATCTGCTATTAGTTTGCTGCAAGCTGATCACGAAGATGAATCAGAATTGGCAAAGCCTTCTAGCAGCTGTAAGGGAATTGGTTCAGTGGAAGAGGAAACTAATGTTTGTTGCGAGCAGAAGAATATCTCTATTTGCTCTGATAAAGTTACAATAGTTGGAAGCCCTGGGTTGCAAAGTAGCTCTATTGATTTGGTTAATTCTTTAAATATTTACTTAGAAAATGAAGGGTTATGTGTAGCGGAAGGTTCAATGCAGAATTCTTATAAAGTGAATGAGCAATTTGACTCGCCTAGAACTTCTTCGGGAAAGATTGGATACTGTGAAGAAGGGCCGGCATGTTGCAGGAGCCAGGAATCTAATTTTGATAACGCTGAACTGTCTAGGATGCAATGTAGCTCTTTGGATGTGGATAAATCTCCACGCATTCCCCCTGAAGATGGAAGAGGGTGTCCTATAGGAGGATCAAAATTGCATTCTGATCAAGTGGACGAGCAACTGGACTTGCCTAAACCTTCTTCTGACAATGTTGAGTGCGGTGAAGAGGCAGTATTAGTAGACTGCAGGAGCCAGGAATGTAATCTTGACAATGCTCTACAGTCCGAGTCACAACGAAGTTCTTTGGATGTGGACGATTCAGCATGCATTGATGCCACTGATGGAAGATTATTGGACTTGTCTAATCCTTCTTCTGGCAATGTCAAATGCCGTGAAGAAACTCTTTTAGGACATTGTAGGAGCCACGAATTTAATTTTGATAATGCCCGAGAGGCTGGGTTGCTATACAACTCCCAGGATGTAGATAAGTCTTCATACGTCCACTCTGAGGACGGACGATCATGTCCTAATGGAAGTTCAGAAGTGCATTCTGATGAACTGAAAGAGCAATTGGACTTATCTAAATCTTCTTCCGACAATATGGAGTGTTGTGAAGAAGAAATATTAGGAGATTTCAGGAATCAGGAGTATAATTTTAATAATGCTCAAAAGTCTGGGATGCAACATAACTCCCTGGATGCGGATAATTCATCATGCTTTTCTTCTGAAAATGGAACTTGTTCTGTTGGAAGTTCAAAACTACATTCCGATCGAGTGAGTGAGCCGTTGGAGTTGTTTAGGTCTTCTTCTACCAATGTTGAATGCCATGAAGAAGGACTAGGAAACTGTAGGACCCAAGATTGTAATTTTGATAATACTGCAGAAAAGTCTGGTTTAGACAAAATTTCCAGTTCACCAATAACGGAAGTAAGGGAGAAAACATCAGATAAGAAGCCCTCCACTTCCGTGGATAACAAGAGGGATGTTAATGAAAAAGAAAAATGCAATTCATCCCTTCACATGCCTATACCGCAGATTCAGGTCGACTCATTGAACGAAGACGAATATGATAAAGATGTATATGAATCTCAAAGTGAAAAGAGATATGATAAAGAAGTAGCTACTTGTTCTTTGCTGCAAAGTGATGAACCTGCAGAACAGAAGATTTCTTTGAAAGACGGAGTGCCGAATTTGCAGTATTCCCATGAAAATGCAGTTGAAATTCAACTAGTGGATACAGACGATGCATCAATTCTGATAAGAGATACAGAAACGTTTAGAGATCAAATGGTCATGGCTCCTTGTGTTCCTTCCGCTGGTGAGGGGGATAGTAATTTGGAGCAGCAACTAAAAAGTTCAGGCATAACTCAGTGTGAAGATTCAGATTCCTTTGAGGGTTGCACTGATCACATGGTCATGGCTCCTTGTGTTCCTTCCGCTGGTGAGGGGGATAGTAATTTGGAGAAGCCACTGAAAAGTTCAAGCATAACTCAGTGTGAAGATTCAGATTCCTTTGAGGGTTGCACTGATCACTTGAATGGTAACCATCATTACTTATCAACTGAGTGCCAGACTGCAGAGACATCAATAGAGTTAAAAACTTTCAGCTCAGTTTTGAGGGCATCTAGTTCCGACCAAAAGGAGATAGAGGTTGAGCTGCAATTGGACAATGGTATTCCAGCGTCTTTAGGCTTGAGGAGTGAGCAACTTCAAATTATCAACAGGAGTCCCATAGATAAAAACTTGATGCAGGAATTTGACACTGAAAAACCTGTCCTTGAACTTCAACGATTATCATTTTGTGAAGAAGGTTACCAACAACCAAATGTGAGCATCGGCCCCATTGAAATGTTGCTATTGGAAAAAGAAGCTCACATAATTCAGGGGTCTGATTCTTCACCCACGCTTCCAGTCAAAGAGGTATGTATTACAACGGGAAGATTTTTCTAGCTAGTGTTTTTAAGTGTGAACTGCAATAATCTCTTAGGCTTAATTGCTGGATGCAGGAAATTTTTTTTGAAGGCTTGAAGCACACGATAATAAAATATACTTTAAAATACATATAATATTAAGAACTAGCATGATGTATGAGGTATAGAAAGTAAGAGGTATTTGATACCCCCCTCCTTTAGGTCATTAACATTTCTGTTTCTTGCTTTCGTTTTTTGTGTTCTTCTGGGTAATAACCATTTTCTGTTTCTCATTTTCAAGAAAATTTTGGAAAAGAAATCTGCTTGTTTCCAATTTTTCACAAACATTTAAAAGTAGTATTTAAAATAATTTTAACTAATGAAGTACCTATGAAATATAAAAAATTGAAAATATAAATATAATTTTGAATATTTTACTTTCAAAAAAATTATATTTTCAAGTAGAATTTTCATTTTGTTATATCAAATGTTAGAGAATAAGAAGTCAGACCAAACACATCTATAATTCTTTTTTCTTCAATAAAAAATGAAGGATTAGAAAAATAACTGCCAAACACATTTTATTTCCGTATCAGAAAATGAAAAACAAGAGATGAGACATTGTCAAACATGCCTTGGCAGGTTGACTATTAAAAACAAACATAGTTCATGCATAGTCTTCAAAATCTTTAAAAATAAACTACAATATCATGAGGCAGACCCAGAACCAGTCATCATCACCAAGTAGGTTCTCACCTCCAATTTTTCCATCATTAGACTTATAGCCTTCCGTTTTTGTTTTTCTATCGTTGAACTTATAATCTTTTGTATTTTTAACCATTAGACTCTATAGCCAAGTATTTCCTTCTTTAGTCTAGTTATTTTCATGTTCCTCTAGATCTATAAATGAAAAAAGAGGGTGCGTTGGGTAAGTTAAACAAAGGAGAACCAACAACCTTTTTTTTACTTCTTCTTCTTCATTTTCTTTTTAAACTTTTCCTTTCTTGATTTAATTTAATCATAGTTTCCTTACTTAGCTTAATCGTGAAGCTCACTTAGGCACACACTTTTGTTGAACAAAACAATTATTTTGGTGTACTTAAGAAGTTAAGATCAAACAATTGAACTATGTGTTGTTTTCAAGTATATTGATCTATTTGGTGAAACATTGGTATACTAAAATGCATATCACGTACATTTATTGCTAAAGTACCTGTGGAAGAATGTGAAAATAATTCTTCCAATTCATATAACAAAAGTTGATTTTGTTCTTTTTAATATGTTGTTTTCTGCATACTGTTCTTGAAAGGATGGGGCCATATTTAGGAAGGGAGATGATGGTGGTCATTCTGTTTGTGCTTTTATTAGGGTATAACGTGAAAATAATTCTTCCAATTCATATAACAAAGTTGATTTTGTTCTTTTTAATATGTTGTTTTCTGCATACTGTTCTTGAAAGGATAGAGCCAGATTTAGTAAGGGAGATGATGGTGGTCATTCTGATTGTGCTTTTATTAGGGTGTAATGTTCATTAAATGCTGACGTATCAGTTTCTAACAAATTTCTAGGCAGGGATTTGATTGATTTTTTCCTCCTTTTTTACTTTTTCTATTTACTTCACGATCTTGTTTCTTTGTGCATGATTGACAGGACCTCTCTCGGTTCGGAAGCAATAACAGAGGTACACCATTGCAAAATGGTATGCTAGAGAGCCAAAGTTTGGTTCCCGAAGAAAATTTTCAGTGTGGAGATATTGAACTTCCTATGGATACTGGGAAAACTGATGGAATGGAGGAAAAGGGGAAACTTACTTTGTGCTCGCTTCATACTCCGCTTACCCAAACTTCTCATTATCTTGGTGCAGACAAGGATATGCCTGCTTTAGAGGGGTTCCTAATGCAATCTGATGACGAAGAGCCATGCATTTCTGTTGGTGGAATCAACTTTGACAAATTAGATCTTTCAAAATGTATGATAGAACGTGCTAGCATCTTGGAGAAAATTTGTAAATCTGCTTGTATGAACAGTACATTATCCTCACCTTCAGAAAGTTTTAGGCTGAACAAGGTGACAGATTTGTACAATTCTCTTCCTAATGGTCTACTAGAGTGCATGGACTTGAAGAATAACCTTCTGATGAATGATCAAAATAAGCTACTGAAGAATGGTAGTAACTTTTTGAATGGAGAAGTCAACTGCTCTCCTCATGGGTCTTCTTTTGATTGCCTGCAAAGCTTTAGCAGTCATTCAGCTGGTGATCTCAGGAAGCCATTTGCATCTCCGTTTGGTAAGTTGTTGGATAGAAATTCATTAAATTCGTCAAGTTCTGGAAAACGAAGCAGCCAGAACATAGAGCTTCCTTGCATTAGTGAGGAAGCTGAGAATACCGATGAGATTGATAACGAGTTTTCGAAGGATATAAGATCGAGCAAGCGAGCACCACTTGTTGACATTACAGAAGATGCAAATGTCAAGGTAACAGTTTCTGAAGCTGCGACGGTTGCTGATAGATTGAGTTTAGAATCTTTAATCATCGAACTCAGCAACACAGGGACTCATATTGGGACCAAAGAGAATCTGGGAAACCAGAAAAGCAGCAAGAGGAAATATGTGAATGAGGCTGTGAGTCGTGATACCTTGCCAGGAGAAAACGGTGCTAAAAGAGTCACTAGATCATCCTATAATACATTTAGCCGGTCAGATTTATCCTGTAAAAAAGATTTCAGAAAGGAAGGTCCTCGATTCTCTGAAAAGGAATCCAAGCATAGAAATATCGTGTCCAATATAACTTCTTTTATTCCTCTTGTCCAACAAAGAGAAGCTGCAACTATTTTGAAAGGTATGTTTATTTATTCATTTTTTAACTATATCCGGCATTCAATATTGACGTACATAGATTGATCATGAACCTTAAACATTTCTTGGATATAGTTTGAACATCGTGTATCTGATGATCTGTGTATTGTCTGAATTGTAATTTATATTTTGTAACTTGTGCATTCCTGTAGGGAAGAGAGATATTAAGGTGAAGGCCATCGAAGCTGCTGAGGCTGCAAAACGTGTTGCAGAAAAGAAAGAAAATGAACGTCAAATGAAGAAAGAAGCCCTGAAACTTGAAAGAGCAAGAATGGAACAAGAGAATTTGAGGCAGATTGAACTGGATAAAAAGAAGAAAGAAGAAGAGCGGAAGAAGAAGGAGGAAGAAAGGAAGAAAAAGGAGGTTGATATGGCAGCAAAGAAAAGACAGAGGGAAGAAGAAGAGAGGAAGGAGAAAGAAAGAAAAAGAATGCGTGTTGAAGAAGTTAGGAGACGATTACGAGAGCATGGTGGGAAGTTACGATCTGATAAAGAGAATAAGGAAGCAAAACCCCAAGCCAATGTAAGATGCTATATGTGACAACGTTTGAACTTTCCTTGTGCTTATGGGCTTTGAAAGGTAAAAACAGCTTATTATTTTCTTCTGTAGGACCAAAAACCACGTGACAGAAAGGGATGTAAGGATGGGACTGTCAAACTGGTCAAGGAAAGTGGACATGACAGCTTTCACAAATTCTCGGTTACTGAGTCTAAGACTACTTCTACAAGCGATGCTGTGAGGGGAAGCTTTGTTGTGGAGGACTCACAACCAACGAGTGTTGATTTTCTAGAGGCAGAGGTAAATTGCTTTTGTGAGTGCAAATTTCCAAACTATATGACGGGATTTAGGTGAAAAGTTATATTCCCATGATAGGAATGGGTAATTAGCTAGTATCCTTCCATTTTCCTAATCCTCACCAGTCTTCTATCTCAAAATATCACATATATATTTTTGTGATATTGTGAGTGCAAAGTTCTATTCCCTGAGGTTAATTGCTTTGTGAGTGCAAATTTCCAAAATATATGACGTGATTTAGAGTGAAAAGTTATATTCCCATGATAGGAATGGGTAATTAGCTAGTATCCTTCCATTTTCCTGATCCTCACCAGTCTTCTATCTCAAAATATCATATATATATATATATATTTTTTTTTTATAGAATTGTCATGATCTTTTTGAAGGATAATAGATGGAGGAACTACATTGAAATCTTGTGGAGGTAATTTTAGTGCTATATCTGAAAGATTTTGGCTTCTAGATGAAGTAGTTATTGGAATTGTCCTAAGATATTCTTTTGTAGATAAACAATAAGATATTTGAGAAAGTACAGAACTCACAACACCTTAGGCTTCCAGCTGGTTTTAGATCTTAATCCACTAGAAACATGGAAGTCATTTTCTAGAGAATTAAAGCTTTATTGATCTTGCTGTGTCCTGTTACATAGTTTGTATCCAAAGAAAATTAATTCTAATTCATCTATAAGTTCTGTGGGACTTGAAGAGGAAATCATAGTGAAACCTGGAAATCTAATTGAACCAAGAATTTCAGGACACCATATAGTAATGACGTTTGTTTAACGCGTGATCCTATCATATGTAACTAAATGAATATGAGAAATGAGATAATTTATACGATTCAACTTCCTTGAGAATTTGAATACATTGAAAAATACTGTTTTTCACTCCAATTGCAATCCAACGTAAATTGTGTTGTTCTCTTCTGTCCTAAGATTACTGCCCAAGTATTTGGTAGTTTAAGGTGAGAATTAGTTGGCAAATAAAGATAGATCTTGCTTGGTTTGAGCAAAATGGAATAAATTTTTTACAATTGTATTACACTTTTAGAGGTTTGATATTAAATCGTCATTTTGCTTGGATGATTTTTCCTGTTCTCCTTTGAGCTTCATATGACTGTAACCTAGACAACCATTTCTATAGGCACTTGAAAATGTGATGGAACATAGAATCTACGAAACAAGTGAAGAACAATCATATCAGATCTCTCCTTACAAAGCTTCTGATGATGAGGATGAAGAGGATGACGATGACGGCATACAAAATAATAAATTTGTTCCTTCATGGGCCAGGTGTGTAGCTGGGCCTCATGTTTTCAAATAAGGAAATAACAAATGTGATTTGAACTCCAATAATGCAATTTAGTACATTTTGCATTTATCTTGTCAAAGATTATCCTGAAGAACATTTCAAATTTGCCATTTTTTCTGTTAGAACTAATATCTTCATACTTTCCTTATGCAGTAAGGATCGCTTAGCTGTTCTTTTTGCTTCCCATCAAAAATTGGATCCAGAAATTATCTTTCCACCGAAAAGTTTTTGTGACATAGCTGAAGGTAAAATTAACGCATAAAGATGGTTGCAGCTTTTAATCTTTATTAAATAAAAACACACTGAGGTAGTTTAACTGTTTTGCAGTTCTCTTGCCTCGACAACATCAGTTTAAATAGACAATAGACCGAACCTTCACAATGTGGATAGATTTTTTATCTGCAACACAAACATTCCCCTTTCTGCCTGTGCAAGAGACTTGCCTAGGTACGTTTTTTTATTAAACTGCTGTTTTTCTCTGACTTGAACATCATATTGTGATTTATCATTTTTGCCTTGTTTAATAAATTAGTTGCAACCCCACTTGTTTGGACTTCTTGGCATTTGAGGATCACTGTTCGTAAAGTAGGCCCATGTACATAACATCGACTTTAGTATTTGAGCAAATCTTTTGGCCACCCTTCCCTTGTTTCACTTGGTAAATAGGCTTCTCTCCGGAACCTTTTTTCACTTGGTAAAGGCGGATGCTATCAGTCGAGAATCTTTTCTTGCAGATGCTATTGGTCGAGAATCTTTTCTTTACTCTCCCTTCAAACACCGTAAACGAAGAAAATGAAAGGATGTTCGTGCGTCTTTGCTCCTTCACCTATTTATTCTTAAACTGTAAACTCAGTGGGTTTGCTCCTTAGCTTTGATTTTTTCTCCTTCACCTCGTAAACAAGGAAAGACTCAAGATTAATTCAACTAAACTCAATCACTTGAAGAACTGTAAACTCTGTCTTCGTCTCCTTCCTTTCGTCTTCTTCCTTTTCCTCTCCGTCTCTTTTCTTTTCTTTCTCTTTTGAAGGATAGATTTAGTTACCTAGTATCTAGGAGATTTAGTTACCTAATATCTAGAGATTATTGTATCTAAAGATTATTATTTAGGTCTATGGTTACCAATAACTAGAGATTTATCTTTATCGTGTTATCTTATTACCTATTATTTATGGATTTATTTAGATTACTAGTATTTAGGAAATTTAGATTATCTATGGATTTAGACTTAGTTAGCCTGTAATTCTCTGAATAATAATAAGCCAGCTAATTTAGACTTGCAACAGTTTTTATTTACGCCATGTCTCATTGAAATGATAGAGTGCTATACTCTGTGGCAGATTTTGCTGATTAATTTCTCAAGGAATTGCTGCTCAGGTGATTAGTTTCTTGCTGCTCTATAACTCTGAATAGCTAAATTGAGATGATCATTGTACAACTACGCAGCTTTATATGTAGGGTCAATTTCTTAGCACCAAAATAAACTATAAAACCCGGTTCTCACCACCCTCCTTATGACTGGATATCTCAACCATGAAACAGTCGGGGAAAAGGCTGTAGTGAATTCTTGGTGTTAACCTTCCCTTCTTTTGCTTTGGGGTAGGCAGGGGGAGGATTTAGGTTACTCCTGTTACAAAGGCAGAATGTAATCTGCCAACTTGTAGGTGTAAAGCACTAGTTTCTAACATAGCTTCTCTATGTACAATTTTTTTTTAATATATTATCTAATGAAGAATATGGAAGTGCAGATGCGATTGTTCACAACTTTAAGAGGAAAATTTTGATTATATTCTAGAAAAAGAAATAAGTAACCTTAACGCCGTAACGGCATAAGCAGTGTTACCTAGGTTTATGTCTAGGCAATCATAGAATGAATAAACTTTGGTTGGAATCCCTATAAGGGAAGTAAGATTTAGATTACTTTGTTGATTGAAGATCTCGAGACAAGAACACTTGCTTGAGATTCAAATCCTTGATTTTGTCAAGCTTGAATGATTCTCATGCAACCTAAACTATATAAAATTGTAAATAAACTTAGTTGTTGGTTAAAGGAAACAACAAATATTTACTTTATAAAGATACCATACATGGCTGTATATAGTCTCAAAATGAAGACACTTGACTTAACACGAGACATTTCAAGAGTTTTAACCTTCATATTTTATGACCACAATTAGCTACGGTGTAATTCAGTGGCTAATTGTAACCTTAAAGTAAATAAAAGTCTCAAAATACATTAAAGAAACATAATAACTCTAAATTATCATTTATCATAAATGAAACCCTAGTTAAAGTAAAAGCCTGATTCTTCTTAATGTGACATTAATGTTGTATGATTGAGATGCCTTAGTTATCAAATGGATTCCGAAGATTCAGTACGGAGCCGAAACTAGATTTTTCTATTGTATCTTGTTCTTGCTTTGATAGAATCTTTGCTTATTTTTCCTTTTCCTCCCAATAGGTCCATTGCTTCGAAAAATTATGTTATTCCTTAAGTAAAAGGAAGAACAACCACAAAAAATAACTCCAAAAAGAACGATGGAAAAACATAAAATCCAAACTGTGAAGATGTGTCTTTTGATAAGGCTTCGGTATTTGATTTGTTCTTGTTAGATTAAATTCACTGCATAAGCATATCTAAGGTCAGTTCAATATGTTTCTGTAGCATGTCAGTAGAGCTACGATCATAGATCAGGTTGCAAGTGCCACATAATTTCTTTGATTTTGTCTTTGTACAATAGTTTTTTTTCCACTGCCATATTTGCTTTGACAGATCTTACTAGTTTTGTTTCTCCCATTTTCTTCGAGGTTCCACATTTTGTGTTGTTTTAGGGGTAACCGTTCAAGTTCATCGCTAGCAGATAGTATTCGCTTTAGCTCGTTACTTATCGTCGTCGCTCATTGTTTTTAAAACGCGTTTACTAGAGAAAAGTTTCCACACCCTTATAAGAAATGTTTCGTTCCCCTCTTCAACTGGTGTTGGATCTCACAATCCACCCTCTTAATGCCCAGTGTCCTCGTTGGCACATCGCCCAATATCTGGCTCTAATACCAATGCCCTCGTTGTAACAGTCCAAGTCTACTGTTAGCGATATTGTCCGCTTTGGCCTATTACGAATTGCCGTCAATCTTACGGTTTTTAAAAATGCATCTAGTAGGGAAATGTTTCTACACTTTTATAACGAATGTTTTGCTCTCCTCTCCAATCAATGCAGAATCTTATAATAAGTTATTGTGGGGGATGATTTTTCGTTAAGATTAAAGAAACATATTAATGAGAGAGATACTTACAAAAATAAGTAAATAAACTTTTTTTATTTATAAATTTTATTCTTTTGGGATTTTGTTTAATTCAATCTACAATATTATCCAAATAATTGTCGATATGAATATAATTCAGCAGGAATTGACATATTTCTCTCGAAGAATTGAGGAGCTTAGAGATTCAAATTTTCTTACCTCACATGTTTATATTGTCAAACGGATTAATATATTTTTAATGTCATGAGTCACAATCTAAGCTACCTCTAACAACCAAAATTCTTGGACGTAGATTTTAACCACTACAATTGATTTTAAATTATGTGATACGAATGACTTTTTTGACCTCACATTGTCATTATTGAAATAAAAAAAACTAGTACATCTTCGATATTAATTTGTCTCGAGATAAAATATTGCCCGTATAAAAACATCAAAACTTTATAAGATTTTTTGATATTGACTTGCACTTGAGCCTTGACTCGAACAACTTTTCAAGGCAAACTTTAGGAATAACTATCAAGGCAAACTTAACTACTAACACTCAATGAGCCACCGATTTTTCGATTTTGACTTGCACTCGAGCCTTGACTCGAACAACTTTTCGACATGGTCTTTCAATGGGAGAAATGTGAATCAGGTTGACGGAAGAAGAGAGAGCACACTCCCAACAAAGACAAAGAATCTCTTTACCCATCAATCGGGTTGTGCTCTCTCTCTTCTGTCAACATAAATTCTCCTACGAGCGTCTCCAAAAGATCTCATACCAATGGAGATAGTATTCTTTGATTATAAACCCATGATCATTTCCTAAGTTAGCCGATATGTGGGACTTTTATCCAACACCTCCCCTCGAATAAAGTATGCTTTCCCTTAATCAACGCTCGACTCCTTTTTTTTTCTTTTGGATTCTTCGAACAAAGTACACCCTATGTTCGATACTCTAGTCACTTTTTGACTATGCGTTCGAGGCTCACAATACTTTGTTCGACATTTAAGGATTTGCCAATCTATTGACATGACTAAGTTTAGGGTATGACTCTAATACCATGACAAAAATCACTAATTTTTCACAATTATGATATTGTCCACTTTGAGTATAAGCTCTCGTGGCTTTGCTTTGCGCTTCCCCAAAAGACCTCATACCAATGGAGATAGTATTCATTGTTTATAAGTTAGCCGATTTGAGACTTTCATCCAACACCTCCCCTTGAACAAAGTATGTCTCTCCTTAATCGAATTTCGACTCCTTTTTTTGTTTTTCTTTTGAAGTCTTCGAACAAAGCAAATTTTTTGTTCAATACTCTAGTCACTTTTTGACTATACCTTCAAGGCTCACATACTTTGTTCAACATTTGAGGATTTGCTAATCTAAGACTGTATACCATGTTAGAAATCATGATTTTCCACAATGGTATCATATTGTCCACTTTGAGTATACGCTCTCAGGGTTTTGCTTGGGCTTCCCCAAAAGGCCTCATTTCAATGAAGACAGTATTTATGATTATAAACCTATGATCATTCCCTAAATACATTCTCAAAATTAGTCGACGTGGGACTTTCATTCAACCGTTAGAGTGACGTGGGAACGAGAAATTTCACAAAAAAAAAGAGCAAAATGAAAAAAATTACCTTCAAAATGATAGCTTTCCCAAATCAAAGATGAACTTAAAGAAGCTCTCTGAGAGAGAGAGAGAGAGAGAGAGAGAGAGAGCCAATAGAACAGTTTTTGTGGTGAAGATAACAACAGGGCCATTTGATTTTGATTTATTGAAAGGAGCGTGCAAAGTCAACAGCCAATAGTTGACCTTTCGTACGACATATTTAATATTATGGTCTAATATACACCGCTCTCCATCACCACTTGCATCGGTTGCCTAAACGAGTTACCCTATAACACATACACGTGTCAGGTGAGCATTGCAAAATGGGTGTCTCGGACTTCTTTTGCACCCTCACCTATGTATCGGAGGTTGGACATAGGATTGGTGTGGAATCCTTAAATAACTTAGCATGGACATGGGAGGGTTTATGTGTAACGACTCAGATCCACCACTAGCAAATATTGTCTTCTTTGAACTTTTCCTTTCGGGCTTCCCCTCAAGACTTTAAAACGCGTCTGCTATGGAAAAGTTTCCACACTCTTATAAATGGTGATTTATTCTCATCTCCAACCAAAGTGAGACATCACATCATGCCTCGATATAACTCGGATGAATAGATTTTTAATGATATGATCGATACGAATCAGTTCTCGATAGACATGTCCAAACAAACAATGATGACTGAAGACATATGGTCAGTTTTAAGTTTTATTAAAAGTACGAAAATTAAATATAAATATTATATAAAAGTGCGATGGTGACACGTGTATATATATATATATATTATGTTATGTATTATTGATAAGTAGAATCTTTTAAAATAATTATAAAAAAAAACTTTGCTAACCCAATCCAGCTCGAAAATAGATGGCTGGGTAGGTTGAGTTGTGAACTCTATTCAGGTTGCTCGGGTCATCATTTACCAACCCAAATTTTCGAATTGGTGCAAAACATTTTTCTAACCCAACCCAACTCAACCCGTGTATACCTCTAGGTAAAACTAGTAAGGATACGATGATTCAGGCTCCGAGAATATGGTGTTATTAGGGCTTCTATTTTATCGTACCGAAAGGCCCAATGAATTGAGATTTCCTTATTGGGCTAGATCATTACGAGATAAACGAATCATTTAGGATGAAAAGGATGAGCTTTAAGAGAACGATTTGGAGTTCTTGCAAAGTGGAACGGTGGAATATTTTTTTCGAATGTCCGATCGAAAATTATTTGAATGATTCGTATAAAAGTTTAATTATTATAGAATATAATTGAGTAATATTATTACAATAAATATAAATTTATAAATTTTAAACCATTAAGAGTTAAATTGGGATTTTTAAATGAATGAAATTCGCTTATAAATAAATTAAATATTTTTATTTAATTATTTTAGTTTCAATTTTGTAATAATTAAATAAAAAGTATTTTCTTTTAATAATAATAATAAAAATATATATTTCGTTTTATAATTTCTTCGTGTGATCGTATCCAATAAGCCCACTTTTAGCCCAATTTACAAAAGTCGCCTCCCTCTCTCTCTCAATCCATCGGTGTTGTTTTCTCTCCTTGATTGATTTGAAATTCCATTTTTTTTTTCCTCGGAAGCGTTTCTCTCTCTAGAATTCATGACGGTATGTTCTCGTTTGATGTCTGCGCCTTAAGGATATTATTACAATTTTGATTTTTTTCTTTGATGTGCTTTTCGATCGGTTCGAGTTTTGCTTCCTGTTGAATTTTCGTTTTCTGATCTGATTCGCCACTTTTGATTTGTTTATTCATTTGATTTCATTAAAGATTGTCCAATTCTGTGTTTCTATGGTTTCCACTTTGATTTTTTTTTTTTATTCGTTTTCCTGAGATTGATGTTGATTGATTCTGGATTAGTTATATTGGGCAGAAATCTGGATTTTTGTGCAAGATTAATTAATTTCTTGAGGTCGTTTCTGAATGAATAATTCTGACCGCTGCATTCAAATATGTACGTAGAGTTGGAGGGAACTTTTTAATTGGTCTATTTTGTTTTGTTTGATTGATTAATATCGATATTTTCAACATCTGTTGCTATAAAGCAATGTTGTATGGTAATAAATGATGGTTGTTAGATTCGTTGTCCGATTGGGAAGGTAAGGCATCAGATTCACCGAGGGTACATCTTGTTGTTCTTTCTTTTTGTAGGACAAAGGTCGGCCATTGCCAAAATTTGGCGAGTGGGATGTTAATGATCCGACATCAGCTGAGGGGTTCACCGTGATTTTTAACAAAGCTAGGGATGAGAAGAAAACAGGCGGCAAACCTGATTCACCTGGAAAAGTTGATGCACAGGGCAGGTCTGGAGCGGATCCTGCCAAGGCACCGCCTGTGAGATACATTCATAATCCTTTTTCTATTGTGCTATTGAATGGTGGTTATAGCTAGCATCTCTATTGATATTAAAGTAGCTGGCATCTAAATAATCCTTCTTTTGCATCTTTGGACAATTGTTTGGTTTATTACTGCCAATGAATTTCTGAGAGTGTTGCTTCTGATAGTGTGGGTGTGTATATATATGTACATATATCTGGGTTGAGCTCTGTTCAAACTTTTGGGAAGTATCTTAATTTGGAATTAAAACGTGCTGGTTAAGTACCCAGAATTAAGCTTTAAGGAGAGATGAAACATGATATCACACCATTTAATGTAACAAAATTTGAATCTCTTTGATTTTATATACCTTGTTAGGTACTGTATGTTCATGAAACATGAATTTCCTAGTTTTTTTTATCTTTGAGAGGGCTCTGGTTCTTGTTGCATAAATGTAGGCCGTCGAATGTAATGACTCGATCTCAGTTCTTGTTGCATAAATGATTAATCTGCAATGTTACCTTACATATTGTATTTACAAGTTTTATTTGGCCTTTTTTCCCCTCGTGGATGATTATCAGAAGAAATGGCTTTGCTGTATCCAAAGTCTCTTTGATTTTATATACCTTGTTAGGCACTTTATGTTCATGAAACATGAATTTCCTAGTTTTGTTTATCTTTGAGAGGGCTCTGGTTCTTGTTGCATAAATGTAGGGGGGTCGAATGTAATGACTTGATCTCAGTTCTTGTTGCATAAATGATTCATCTGCAACGTTACCTTACATATTGTATTTACAAGTTTTATTTGGCCTTTTTTTCCCCCTCGTGTGGATGATTATCAGAAGAAATGGCTTTGCTGTATCCAAAGTCCCCCTGCTGAATCTTGAGAAGGATTCGTTTAGAAGCCTTGGTTGAAAAACAATATTATTCTGTAATTGTGCTACTTTGGCTTCTCAAAGACGATGAACTTTTCATGGAGCCCTGATGTTCCTGCTAAATTTTATGCAATTTCATGTAAAGCTGAGTGTTATTGTTGTGGAGGAAAAAGTAAAGAAGACAAACATGTATTATATTTATATGATTGATATGGTGGTTTTTTATTATAGGATACAGTTGCTATTCTGTCTTTGCCTTTGGTGTGAGCTGTAAAGCTTTGCACTAGACATGATGTATAATTGTGGCTGGTATAATTAATGTATTACAACCTTTTCTTTTCTTGGAAGACAGCCTTTCCCATAACATAAATATTTACTCGACAGGGAAGATTTGAACCTACGACCCACCAAGAAAAGACATTTGATGTCTGGCTTAGTTCTCCCATAACACACAAACTACACAAACTTATAGACACTTGAGAAAATACAATGAATTTATGGTATTCCAAGTTCAGCCAAAAGTTGCAAGGAATGATTAGTAACCTTGGCTTGTGAAGGCTTTCCCCCCGGCCCTTCAATTCTAGTATGACTCTGATTTTGCAGTTCTTTCCTCTGTAGTACCTCGACGTGACATGAGCGTGCAAGAGGTTCTCAAGAATCTGTTTTCCTTTCTTTTATAAGGGAGATTGCAATTGGAAAAAGAGGACGAACGGAGAGGAATAACCAATCGATAAAGGAACATGAAACCATTCTGTTTCAATAGAGGTACGAGAAAGGATTGGGGGCAATGAAGTAGGTGAAGTGGTTATGACTGTTGCGGAGGCTTTGATGGTTGCTAATTGAAGACCGCATAAGTAGGAGGTCTTCATAAACACGTTAAAGAGCTCCTGTCTCGGCAGGTCACCTTTTCAAGACTGAGAAAGGTGAACATCTAGCGCAGTGCGCCTGGCAAATGGCTTGATTTTTTCATGATATACCAATTAGAATGGAGGGCTTTTACAAACCCAAGAAAAGAAAAAGTGAACAATACTTAGCTATAAAACCCAAGGTAACAATTAAAGTAGCAATGAAAAGGCAATACAAGTGGCTAGGGCCAATGTAAAGGATTTAATAGTCAGGGAGCTTGGTATCTTGCCTTTATCTGTTCTAAAGAAAAGCCCTTCGTACAAAGGCCAATTAATTACAACCAGAGTTCCACACAGAACAACCTGCAAAGCCATTGCTTGAAAGGTCATAACCAAACCACTGCCACTCTCTACTGCTTTCTTCACCATCCCAAGAAAGCACAGCAAATTAACCAATGAAACTGTTGCTATTATAGTAAACATTGGAGAGGAAGCTCCAAATTCCATGATCTCCTTTTCATATCGTTCCGAGGCTTCTTGATCGGTCACTTTAGCTGTGATTACAAACGCTGAATCCGACAATCCAATTATCTTCAAGACAGTATCGATAAGAGCAAAGAGATAGGAACTTGTTCTCTTGTATAGCCAAATCCTCTGTTCATTCCACCAACCCAAGATTGTTCCTCCAGCCAACAAATACTCCACCAAACTACCAGCATACTTAGCAAATATCACATATGTGAAAGGTATCAGCCAAGGGCTTGAAACCTGAGTGCACAAAGTAGTCAGCGCTCAGTGGTAAGTCGGCCAACAGTTTCGGTTCGTATGAAGTGTAAGAGAGGCAGGAAAGTTATGTACCTGGGGAAACAAGGGAATGCCTCTGAGGAGATAAAGTGAGGGGATTATGGAGTAATATAATGTTGCCAAGGAATTAACAGCCCAGAGACAAAAGGTACAATATCCCATTCGTAGGCCTAGGCTGATCTTTCCACGAGCATACCGTGCGGGACTGTACCTCGAAAGAAGAATTTGGAGGTCACCTTCCGACCATCGCTTATGTTGAACTAGTGTCTGGATTAATGAGGTTGGTGCAACACCTAGGAAGGCTCCCCTCTCTGGATTGCAGTAAATTGATTTCCATCCCTGGCTTTGTATTGACAACCCTGTTATAACATCTTCTACAGGACATCCATATCTCAAACCCATCTGCAATTAAAAAGTTGATGATCAGACTCAGAAATGTGAGAGAGGAATGTAATATAAGGAGAAACTGGCCTCTTTTCCCCATTCAGTGTTCTCTTCATATGAACAGCTTGCTAGATGCTTCGATTTTTCTTCGAGTTCATTTACATCGTCTCCCGAGTTCCTATAGTCCTTACTGTTCCAATCATTTCTGTATCCTTTGCTGTACTTTTTACCACATAGAACATCTCTTCTATGAAAGCAGCCTGTTCCAATATATAGAGGGCCTCCAAAACTATCCAAACCGGGCAGTTCGACCTTCACAGGACAAAATCATTTACATTACTGGAACTAAGTTACCATAAACTTTTTGAACTTTCTGGACGATATCGACTTACCTCATTAATGACCCGTAAACTACTTGCATAGATCTCGTTCTTGGTTATGTTATCAAACAATTGTGGAAACTGCACATATGCAATCTCATGGCCCTTTTCTTCATCCATTAAGAAGCAAAGTGCATCTCTTATGGCATCAGAGTTGTTTGAATACATATCACAGTCTACATTGAGTATGATTTGCCCATTGCTGATCTGTGACGAGACCCTAAGCTGAAAATGGAACCAATGACAACCAGGTTAGGTACTTACATCAAATGTGTGGAAACGAGTGATAATCGGTGCATTAGCTTGATATTAGGTGCTATTTTAGTATTCTCATCGATGTCGGCTTCTGTGAAGGTTATAGATTAGTCTGTCTCTCTATATCTTTACATATTCATGTAGATAATTACCAAGGCATTCATAGCTCCAGCCTTGAAGTTATGGAAATATCGAGGTCTCTTCTCACGAGCCAAATACACCAAAGTTGGTAACACAGACCCTTCAACGTCCTTAGCTTTTGGATCTCTTCCATCTATGACTATCTGGGATGTTGAGAACAGAGAATCAAATATTAGAAAGACTGTGCAAAGATTTAAGATGATTGTAAGGTCCAAGCAACAGATGTTACCTGAAGGAACGTATTGTGGTCTTTACGAGATGCATAGGATTCCCACTGGGAAAATCCTTTGCTACTCGACTGTATTTCGTCAGGAACCCGGCCTAGTTTGACTGCATAATTGATTCTATTCTCCATATCCTTGTATAGTGTCTGCAAAAGAAGAAACCATCCAGGTAAAGGCAGCCATTAATAGCGTTGTGTCCTGTGATCCATAGTTGAGTTTTTGATTCAGAAGCAATAAGGCTTGATTTTCCTGGATGTAAAATAACCTGAATGAAGTCCACTTCTTTGCCCTGATGATCTATGTGTGAGGCAAAGTAAGCTGCAGGTGACCTTGGCTGGATGTTGAACTTCTTGCAGAATGGTATCCAGTGCTTTGCAAATTGAGAGGCCTCCATGAGAGCATAGTAGGTGAGCTTGGAGCTTGCGTCGTCGGAGAGGTACACGCTGAGCTTCTCAGGCGGGTAATCGTATGCCATGACTGATAATACTGTGCTGATGACCATAGCTGGTGGCTCCATCTCCGGATCTGCTGTGCACACAAATATGTCCACTCCTGGAAACTCTCCCTCATGCCTGTCATCAACAATACCCCTTTTCAAACTTGGCATAAACCAACTGAGAGAAACTAAGACAGAGAGAGAGAGCCTATTCCACAACAATATCCCATTTCCAAGCATCAAAGAAAACCAGTAAAAGGAACAAAGAGGAGAAAGTGACAGCTTGTTTCACAACATTATATTGTGTTGTTTTATCCACCCCGCTACCGCAACTACTAGCTGATATTGTCCTCTTTGAGCCTTTCCTTCTGGTTTTCCTAAAAGATTTTAAAACACATCTGCTAGGGAGAGGTCTCTACCTCCCAGTTCTCCTTTCCAATCAACGTGGGATCTCACAATCCACCCTCTTAGGGGCCCAATGTCCTCGTTGGCACACTGCTCGGTGTCTGACTCTGATACCATTTGTAACAGACCAACCCAACCACTAGTAGATATTGTCTTCTTTAGATTTTCCCTTTTGGGCTTTCCCTTCTGGACTTCTTCTCAAGATTTTAAAACGCATATGCTAGAGAGAGGTTTCTACACCCTTGTAAGGAACGTTTTGATCCCCTCTCCAACCGATGTGGGATCTCACAATCCATCCCCTTTGGGACCCAGCGTTCTCGCTGGCACATCACTCGGTGTCTAGCTCTAATACCATTTGTAACCGTCCAAGCTCACTTCTAGCAGATATTGTCCTATTTGGGCTTTCCCTTTTAGGCTTCCCCTCAAGGTTTTAAAACACCTCTGTTAGAGAGAGGTTTCCACACCCTTATAAGGAATGTTTCGTTCCCCTCTCCAACCGATGTAGGATCTCACAGTTTCAAAGCGTCTGTCAAAAAGAGGTTTCCAAACCCTTATAAGGAATGTTTCATTCCTCTCTACAACCAATGTAGGATCTCACAGTTTCAAAGCGTTTGTTAGAGAGAGGTTTCCACACCCTTATAAGGAATGTTTCGTTCCCCTCTCCAACCAATGTAGGATCTCACAGTTTCAAAGCGTTTGTTAGAGAGAGGTTTCCACACCCTTATAAGGAATGTTTCGTTCCCGATGTAGGATCTCACAGTTTCAAAGCCTCTGTTAGAGAGAGGTTTCCACACCCTTATAAAGAATGTTTCGTTTCCTTTTCCAACTAGTGCAGGATCTCACAGTTTCAAACACCTTAGAATCTAAACTAAGTGAAAGAACATAAGAGAAAGAAGGGAGAGAGAGAGAGAAAGAAAGTGAAGCCTTTTCCACAAGCAATATTCCATTTGAAGAGAGAGAGAGGCAGACCTTTGTGAGAGCTTGTGTTTAAAGGTGCGCCTACGAATTGGATTCCAGCGAGGAGCCTGAGTGATAACCCAATAAAACCCAAACCATATCTCAGCAGCAAACAAACCAAGCCAACCCAATCTTCTTCCTCCTCCTTCTGCTACAAACTTCACTCTGTAACTCCAAATCAAACAAATCCCCACAAAAATGGAAGCTGCAAATACCCTATAAACAACTCTCCCCTTCACTGCTTTCGTCTCAAACAACGGAGAATACCCTTCACTCTCCATGGTCTCTCCCCTCTTCCTCTCTAAGCACCAATGAATATATACCCTTCAATGGTTTCTTACATTATACTTGCAATAAGCTTGTTTTCATCCACCTTTTTCAATGTAAATTATGCAGGAATGAGAAGTGAAGGATTGAAGATCGGTTGATTGATTGATGAGTGGTGTCCAAAGACTTGCATCAACAAGAAGCTAAGGCCATGGGCATGTCCAGGTGATGAAGAGGTGAGCGGCGGCA